AATTGAACTCAATATATAAGGCAATAAGACACATGCAATATAAAGCTTTTAAATCATTGTAAACAACTTAGTTCGTTAATGATTAAAGCAATAACAAACTCAACTTTACTTATATAAAAGTAATATAACTTTAGTGGGAGATTCTTTAACCGACAACCACCACTATGAGCCCTAGTGATGATACAAAGTTTTACCTCACGTTGCCCAAGGACCATCCTATACCTTGTCGTGATATAGGAAGCTAACTTTACTAAGTGGATACACTAGCTTAACTTTACGTGATAATCTAAAAAGTATGACACGTTAACTCCCATGTTGGCTACATTATTCTTTTGGAGAGTTGAGTTAATATGAACTCGCGTCCCCAATTCGGTGCTCGATACTACTCCCAAAAATATACTTTAGCTCGTAAGTGTTTTAAACAAATCTTTCTTTAGTTGAGATAATTACTCAAAATCTAGCCCAAAGGCTCACTTGAAAACGATGTTCCTTTTTCTTGAAAACTAGCCCAAAGGCTCTTTGGAAATCATAGTTCCTTTCTTACCCAAATGAAAAAAAAAACATTTAGAAACTTCTTTGGGAATACATAGTTCCCTAATAGCTTTTTGAGAAATGAACTCAACTTTAAACTCTTGACTTAACTTGAAACTTGAGACTCTTTACTTAGCTTGAAACTCTAAGCTCTTTGCTTGACTTGACACTTGAGTCTAAAAATGAAGTTTAAACGTTCAATAAAGACTCTTGAACAACTTTACAACTTGCTTGACTTGCTTAACTTCTAAGCTTAACTCTGAACTTCACCTGACTTGGAAACTAACTCTCCTTGAATTGGATTATGAATTCAAGGTGTTTGTTCACATGTTATGGATGAGTTCTTAACGGTTAGACGTACTTTGGAGTGTCGGAAACAACTATGAAATATAGGTACAATACCATGGAACATGCATGAGAAAGTGTGCAAGGAATAGGGGAACTTGGCGTCCTTGGCGCTCTGCAAGGCGCGGAGCGCCAGCCCTAAAACTTCAGAGGGACCCTGCTGGCGCTCTGCTAGGCGCGGCGCCCCAAGGGGGAAAGTTCAGAGCCCCTTGTGGGGCGCGCTGGCAGGCGCGACGCGCCAATCCCTTCCCTAGAAAACTTGACTTTTTCTCCCTCTTTTTCCAACTCTAAATCACCCTAACTTCAAGGGTTTCAATCCCAAACACTAAGAATCATAAAATCCCTCAATACACAAGAGATTCAAATCAAAACATAACCAAATCATGCCACAAATCCACAAGGAACTCCAACACAATCAACAACATAACCAACAACTTCAACAACTACAACCAACAACTTCAACAAACTCAAACAACATTTTCTCAATAATAAAAGGAGCTTGGTGTGTGGGGAAAGGATCAACCCAACACTAAGAACTCACATACCTATAAGGGATCACCCCCGACGATATCCATGACGATCCTTGACGAAAACTTCTTGCTTGATCTTCTGTTTCTCCAATTCTTCTCCTCTTCACTCTCAAGCCCTTGCTCTCACTATTCTAAAATGGGAAAAAAAATGATCCAAAATAATCCTAACACAATAATATAATCCCAAAAGAAATGGCTAGGGAAAAGACCAAAATGCCGTTAAAATTTCCGGACGGATTCCCTGCCAACTGCCCAACGTTCAAAGGGCATAACTCACTCATACGAACTCGGAATCGAGCAAAGTCAGTGGCGTTGGAAAGACCATTCCACGAGCTTTGCAACCATAACTGGAACTTCACCTAACTCATCCTGATCTAGAAGTTATGACTGCTCAAAGTTGGCCAAAAACTCACTTTTTTTCATACTTAGCCCAATTTCCAGATTTTTAAATCTTTCCAAAAATGACTATTTCCAATTCTAAGCCTCTTCATAATTATTTCAAATCGCCGGATGGTACATCTATACTCTTATAAATTTATACATGGTTGTGATTATATTGAGTTCTTTTTATTGAGTACTCCTATTATTCATCTATCTATTTTTTGGCGAACTCCTCGGCAATATCTAGTAGTAAGTTTGCTAATGGTCTCTTTCGCTTTCTTCTCTGTTTTTTAAGAAATGACTAGACTTTTTTATCATCAACAACGAACAACTAGAAAAAACATAACTGGTACATCTAATCTACTGCTGGATACTAAAAAAATAACTAGGGGTATACATTCATCTCTTCAAGATTCCTTCCTAAAATTTTCCTCATGGATCCCCTAAAGATGTCTTGTATAATCCTCTAAAGAAGATAGAAATTGCTGGATCAATACTTTTAGCCTGGATGACAAATTTTATTACTCTCGATCCAAATATTGTGAACTTATGATGCCAACTGCCAAGGTAATTATATAAATTACAGCAGAGGTTTTGCCTCAAGAATGAGTGTGTGACTACTCCAACTCTTTAACCTATTTAAATATTTTCCTAGGAACTCCGTCTTAGTGTAAATGCTTACTCCATATGGCTCCAAATTACTCGCACATGAACTGCAATCATTAATTTTTGATAAAGTAAGAAAAGGGATAAATGAAATCAAGAAGATATAGGTAAGATAGTTACACAAGTAGTGAGATTTTAGTTTCATTTATAAGTCTCCTATGCATGAAATGACTAAAGAGATTACAAAGTCCAAAAGATTGACATTAGAGTGTAAGGGGGATAACCTATCCTAACTATATTAAGTTAAAATATTGAAGTTGATATTCTATCAAAGCACCTTCTGTTTCTCTCCTTCCACACACACCAAAAAATACAAGTAGGAATCATTTTTCAAACTTGTTTGATGGATTTATCAACTTTCCAAGAGTTTCAACTAATGTAGGCTTCCTTAAACTAGCATTCATGACCCAACTAAAATAAAAAATAAGCAACAAATAAATTTAAAAAATCAACAATCTGTTAGTCTCAGAAGCTTGTTGGCACGTAAAGCATCTATCGACTTTTGTCATGCCCCTTCTCCTAAGGTTGTCCTGAGTGACACTGCCCTTATGAGATGGAGTATTTGACCTTGGGAGGGGCTTTGGTATGCCAAATAAGCTTCTAAGGCCACTTCTCTATCATATAATTGTGAGCACATCATAACGAATACCATCTTTTCATTATGTATTGTCCATTTCTCATCATATCCCATTGGATTCTATATGGGTTGTGATCATTAAGGAAGCAACAATCCAAATTGGATAGTAATTGTAGCAAACTATCTAGTTCCCGGTCTTGGAAATTCAATTTGAACAATGGTGCCCTGGCATTATTTTTTCTTTTCTGGGAGATAATTGTGTCTAAATTAGAGGCTATTGAGAAGAGAGTAGGAAAGTTACTTTGTAGAGTAGTGTTCCTTGACCATTTTTCCTTCCAATTTTTAATGTGAATGTCATTATCTTCTTTGGTAGCTGCATTGCTAGTTAATAAATATCCCATATGGAGATATGAATACATTAGTAGACCGATGTGATAGTATTTTAGGTTTTGCAAAAATCGCTTCTTTACAGAGAGTACCGTCTTCATTGTTGAACCTCCATAGCCGTTTCATTAGAAGGGCTCTATTATGTCCTGCTATGTTTCTGATACCTAAGCTTCCAAGATATTCAGAAAGAGTGATGTAAAGCCACATGATATGATGAGATTTTTCATTTTTCTATTTCCTTTTCATAGAAAGTCTCTCCTTAACTTATCAAATTGTAACATTACCTCGCTGGGAATAGGAAATAGTGACTTTATGTATGTAGATAGGCTATTAAGATCAACGTTTATCAGTGCAAATAATTTTTTTGAACTGCAATCTATGCCTTTCTAAGGAAACTTCACTTAGAAGCTAATTAGTATGTTAGAAACTTTGATGATTATTATTATAATATGAAAGAGATTTTTATCGTTCTGTATGTTTCTTCAAAAACAAATAATTAGGAGAGGTTTGAGATTAATTTGGACGAGCATTACGTGAAAGATAGCTGTGAGGATATTCTGAAAAATAGAAGCCTACAATGGTGCTACAAGTTAAAACAATTGTTTGAAAGTGCACGCTCAGAGGAAGAAGCTCCTAAAATTGAAGTGCCAGAGTTGACCCTAGAAAATTGGAATAGACTTTGTGACATGTGGATCGATCCAAAACATAAGGTAATTTAATTTCATGTTATTCTCGTTGTTATTAAAGTTATGATATTTATATTTTCTTTGTAGAAACGATGCGACATAAACAAGGTCAATTGAACTAAGCTTAAATCTAATCATTTCATGGGATCAAAAGCATTTGTAGTGGCTCGTGCTGAACTTGTAAGTTATAGTGTTTTTATTCTTTTCACTAATAAAACTTTAGTACTATTTCAATTGTTTTTCTTATTTCACAGGGTGAAAATGAACCTGAAAAAGTAGAGGAGCCTCACAGGGTGTAATGAGTTCTACAAGCATACTCATTACACGAGTAAGAAAGAATGGTCATTTTTAGAGGCTGAGACTCACTATTTAAGGATGGTTATCCAACGCGTTTGTTCGATTATTTCTTCTGAGTTGTGTCTTCTCCTTTAAATAGTATTTATATTCTTATGCAGAACAACATGAAAGATTTGAAAGATCTATATACTTCGGGGGAGGCATCCATGATTACTAATGAAATTGTGGATACCGTACTTGGTACAAAGTTGGGGTACATAAGAGGACTTGGTTATGGTCCAAAACCTAATACTGCAAGAGCTACACAAAGGAAAATGGCAGAGTTAGAGGACTCCCTCAGAAAAGCGAAACAGGAAGCTGCTAGTGCCCAAAATAATTTACAGAATCGATTAAATGCCGCTGAACTGTGGTAGAAAACCAACAGACTCAGATACAAGACCAGCAGTCTCAAATACAAGATCAGAAATATCAAATAGAAGCATTAAACTCTCAATTGAATACTATTGTGGCACGCCAAGAGGAAATGTTTAGGAAAATGCAATGTTTTGCTTGCTCATCGCCTTCAAGGTTAGAAGCAACACAAACTTATGTGATAATTTTTGCGTACTTTTTTTTTTATGAAATATATAAATATGTAGCATGTAGTATCTAACTTTGCATACTTTCTTTTATGATGCAACAGAGACGGAGCTCCATCAGAATGCCAACTTTAGGTAGATTTTTATTTCGCCAACATAAAGTCCAGTTTTCAAAAGTTATAGTTTATATTAATTATTTTATTTATATCATATTAATATGTTAATACCTTAGCTCAAGAAAAAAAAATTAGTATTGAACATGCCATATACTTTACGCCCTAGGTGCATCCTAATCTTACTGGACATAGTGTAGAAAAGGCTATCATACCTTATAGAGGGGAAACATTGCCAGTAGCTAAGTAGAGATAAAGAGAAGATTCCTCCTTTTTACACTACTTTATAGATTTTCAGACCATGGAAATAGAATCTCAATATTGTAGAGCTGCAATTCTTATCCTTCTCAGTCTCTTACTCCTTGCTTTGGGTGTATCTGGTCATTTAGTGATGATATAGTTTGGCTTTCTTTAATTCTTGATAGCAAAGATTTGTATTCTTAGAGAAATCAGTAGCACATAGAACCAACATTTTTATAGTTGGGAGATATTCCAAAAGGTTTCTAAAATCTTAGCCATAGAATTGGCAGGAAGTTGTTCATATGCTTACTGGAATACTTTTGTACTCTACTAGTAGTGCAGTAGTCCTTTAGATGTATGATTGGTATTTGGTAGTGCTAGATATATAATTCAGTATAGCTCTTGGAGCAAAATCATTATTAGAATTTAGAATAGATAAAATTGTGTGTTAGTCTTTGTTAATGTTGTAATACCGTTGGTGCTAAATGGTTTAATTCAAACCTCATATGAAAAATAACTTAAAACCCATATGACATGTGTAGTTTTAGTGTAGAAAGAAAAAACATACTAGTAGAAGTGCGAAGGAGCCATACATTATTTCCAATATCATCGGCATAGCGTTCTGATTTCTTCCCCTCATTTCAACATTTTGAGTCTGACTTGCTCTTCTTTTGTTAACGAATCCTTAATTCACCTTCTCTTCTTATAGCTTCTTTCTCGCACTAACTACTAACTTCCACTATTTTTCATTCTTTCATGAATCTAAAAGGAAAAAGGTCAATCTTATTCTTATGGGTTGATCAAAACTGCTGCAAAAATACAATCTTTTAACTCGTTTTTAGACTCTTTTGAGTTGACATTAATGTACTGCTTAGTTTTGTTTGAAAGATGGGTACAGATAGTAAATACCAAATGGTGGTGAATGAATTTATGGTAAGATGAGCTTATACTAAGAACCTATGTTGCTTGGAGTCTCTAGAAATGTTATTACACGTGTATTGAATCTTCCAAAAATGCACTACTTTTGGAGGATCGGACATTTTTGAAGAGTTCGAGTGTCTTAGCAAGAAAATTTACTTTTTGAAGAGTTCGGAATTTATGGTAAGATGAGCTTATACTAAGAACCTATGTTGCTTGGAGTCTCTAGAAATGTTATTACACGTGTATTGAATCTTCCAAAAATGCACTACTTTTGGAGGATCGGACATTTTTGAAGAGTTCGAGTGTCTTAGCAAGAAAATTTACTTTTTGAAGAGTTCGGAATTTATGGTAAGATGAGCTTATACTAAGAACCTATGTTGCTTGGAGTCTCTAGAAATGTTATTACACGTGTATTGAATCTTCCAAAAATGCACTACTTTTGGAGGATCGGACATTTTTGAAGAGTTCGAGTGTCTTAGCAAGAAATTTACTTTTTGAAGAGTTCGGAATTTATGGTAAGATGAGCTTATACTAAGAACTTTTCTTTCTGCCGAAGTCATTCTTGATTTTAAAAAATTGATAGGACTAATTAGATTTCTTGGACAAAAGATCTAGCAAAGTGAAAGATCTATTGTATGATAATTGATAACCATTATATATTCTTCTATCCCATCAAATCTTCAGAGCAAATTTAAAGCAGATGATATGAAAAAGAAAAGAAGATCAATAAACTATCTCATGAATTTGTTTGGAACAACTGTACATTAAATTTCATCCTAGTCTACCCACTTTGATTTGAAAGAGTATGTTTTTGCATCTGTTGTTGAAAAGTGACGACTTGTTTGGAATTCGCCCCTAGGTTTATCGTTTAGCGGTAACATAGAGCTTGCTCTTGTTTCTAGTGATTTAATGATCGTAGACCACCTTGTTAGATAGGGGCTTAGGTCAGAAAATTTAGTATGAGCTTAACCTGCAGGTGCAAGGAGATACTGAAGATAAATTTGTTCCAATTGGTGTTAAGTCTGTCCTTAATAAAATGTTGGCATACCGCGATCCTGCACCATTTTATTTTCCTAAAGGAAAAGGCATTGAGGCTCTCCCTGATGCTTTGATTGCCCTTTCAATGTGGCTCTCTGAAAAAGAGTAAGATTACTATGACAACATGTTTGAGCAGACTAGTTTCACTGGTGCAGTTCACTATTTCCCTAATGCCTTGAGCCATCCATTTTCACAATATTCATTACCAGCAATTCTCTTGTTAGATGTATATTGCCACCAATCAATCCCCTTTATACACACACTTTTCATCCATTTTACTCAAAGGTTATCAGCATGTTGGCTATATTCCATAGATACTTTGCCACTGCATCTGCATTCCATATCATACAATCAGTGACCCCCTTTAAAGTTGTCATGTTTTCCTTCATTTTGGGCTATTGTATGCTCTGGTGTTGTCACACATTCCCCTTAGACTCTTGTTATTGTTAAAGTTGATATTACTCCATAGAGTTGTCTTGGAGGTGTGTTACTTTGTGAAGGCAAAGTCAACTAGCTAATTACCAGATAATGTGGTAGTCGACAAATTTGGACAAAAAGATATAAGCAGGAATGTCTTTCTTATTGCAAGATAGAAGAATAAAAATTTTCATTCTTTGAATTATGAGCAGTGAGTTTAGAAGCTTAAACATTTCATATAGTTAAAATATGTTAAGTCTAAGCCATGAACCAAATAGAGAGTTTTATCGTAGCAAATGTATAGCTAATATATAGCTTTACATTCTATGTGATTTATTTTTTGCAGTGGTCATAAAACAGGACATTACAACATATGAAAAATCATTTTGTATTACAGATTCTACTTTCTATTAACTCTTATAAATTTCTTTTCTCTCTTTTACACATGTATGAATACACAGGTTGCTCCTAAGGTTATCTTGACAGCGTCTGATAAGTAGTGCAATGAGAGATTTCAGAAGATGAAACCACCCCAGCTTCAGGGTGGTAAGAGCGATGATGCTCATGATTTTTTGACTTTGTGTCATGAGATGCTTGGGACAGTGGGTATGGTGGATGCTCGTGGTGTCCAGTTTGTTGCACTTCAACTTCGTGGTAGGTCTAGACTAGTTTGATCTTCTCGGGAATAGTGGAATGTATTCTATAGTGCTTTAGAAGACCACTTCATTTACTGGAGCATGAGAGTGGAGAGTCATCTGAGAGCTTGGTTTAGGGCAGTTTGTCTATGGCCGAGTATGAGGCCCTTTTATGTGAGCTCTCTAGGCATGCTTTGACTATTTTTTTGGATGAGGCTGAGAGAGTTCACCGGTTTGTGAGAGGGTTGACTTTCTTTGTCAGATCTTATGTGTTCAAGGCAGCTAGAGAAGGGGCTTTCTACCCGTCCATTGTGAGCACCACCAATGAGGCAAAATTGATTATCTTAGAGAAGTTTGGGGAGCCCAAGAGGGACCGTTCTCTGGTCAATTTTTTGGTGCCTCATCTGGAGGCAAAAATTCGCATAGGGGTAGTGGTTTATTCCAGTGTCGTGGGCCGGCTATGCCAGCAATTGAGAGTGGGTAGTCAGCCCGAGGTTCTTATGGTTTTGACTGAGGTGTCCATGGTAGTTCATCGGGTTCACAATAGTAGTTATCTGCGCTGAGATCTTACTACACTTGTGGGGATCCAGGTCATATGATATGATAGTGTCATGTACAGACTCATTCAGGACCTCACCATTCATATTCAGTTGCTCCAGCTAGGGATTCAATTCCTCTGGCCAGGAGCCGAGGTAGATCTTAGAATGATATATGTGGTAGGACTACAGGTAGGGGTGTTCCAAATCCGTAGGGTGGAGGTAGAGGTTCTACTCAGGCAATAGGCGACTGGATGGCCAGTGATATGCTTTTCTAGGAAGGCCTGAGGCTGAGACTTCTGATGTTGTGATCACATGTATTGTCCAGTTTTTCATCGACTTGCGTCTGTATTGTTTGATCCGGGATCTACTTTCTCATATGATTTACCTGTTTTGTTGCTGGATTTGATATGATGTCAGGCTGCACGTCTGTGCCTATTCATGATTATATACATGTGGGTGAATCTTTTGTGGTGGATCGAGTGTATCAATCCTGGCTTGTTTCT